ATTTTTTTTGACGGGTAAATTCTCTCTTTATTTCAATAGTTGCTGATATAATATTGCTTAAAATTTTTAGCTCAAAAATATTAATTTTTTTTATTTAAAAAAAAATCAAATAAATAAATCCATTTTTATTATAATCAAATCAAAACATATTATTTGCATAAAATAAAATATAAATAAAATAAATTATTTTACTAAAAATAAATAAATAAAATTCTACATTATTATTTAAAATTTCTCAATAACATAAAAATAATTTTTGGCTCTAAATTTAAAATAAACTCAAGCTACCCTCTGAGGGCCCACTAAGTGAGCCGACTCATGCGGCTCCTTGATCGGCTTGAGTCGGAGCCGTTTTTTACGACTACGACTCGAGTCGCAAGTCGTAAGAACTCGACTTTTTAACAACACTAGTTCCGGGTTCGAATCCCGAGAATGATCATGTTTTTTTTCTTATTCTAACTTGGTGGTTCCATCCTTGGGGGGATAATATATAGGAGGCCGGACTCGACCACGTGATTCCGTATTAATATATTAAATAATAAGGATCTTTTTACATTTTAATAAATTTTGGTCGGTATTTAGCAAATTAGGTTGGTATTTAGAATATTTCCGTACATTCACTTGGTAGTAAGCATCATTAACCATTTATATTTAAGAGGCCATTAAGAAAAATATAGTTGGTTATAAACGTCTCTTTCGTTGTTTTTTTCGATTAATATTTTCAGCATGATTAGTTAGCTTTTCGAAGATGTATCCCTGTCTGAAAAAAAAATTATCAAAACATTCAAGGTCGATTCAATGATGAACTTTATTCTGTTGGGATTATTATAATGTGATTATTTGTAAAGTGTTGAATAAAGAGTAATTACTTTTCGGTCTTTTAAAGTTTTAGAGAACTTCATCAATATTTGGCAAGGCTACTCATTTTTGAAAATGCATTCGATAGAAATTTTTCGCATAAGTGTGGCGGTTGGAATTTATACTTAATTTTATATTTGCCTTTAAAAGCACTGCTAAAATACCATATTGACCATCCGTTTTATAATTGATTTTTTTTTATTATTCGATATACATTTACTAACATGGCGGAAATTTGGGGTATGAATAAACTAAGAATCATAAAGACTGAAGTGCGAGTAGATTGTTAAGATCAATTATTGTAAAGTTTGATGATCAAATTGCGAATCAAGTAAATTAATGTTTGAAAAAACTGCGAATCTAGCAAACTAATGTTAGATTAAGATGTCTACACTATGATTCAAGCAAATAACATTAAACTAAGATAATTGGACTGCGAATTGAGTGAATTATTGTTTGAAGAAACTTCGAATCGCAAATCAATATTAAATTAAGATGTCTGAACTGAACTATGAAGCGAGCAAATCAATGTTAAATTAAAATGAGTAAAGCGAATTAATGTTTGAAGAAAATATAAGTAGAGCCAATTAAGCTTGAATTGAGATGAATAAATTGTGAATAGAGTAAATTAATGATAAATAAAAATGACGAATCTAGTATATTAATGTTAATCCTTAAGTTGAATAAACTGAAATTAATATGTAAAAAGAAACAAGCTTATCCGACATCAAAAATAACAATTAATCGTAGTCATAATAATAAACAAGATTAAATTATTATTTTTATATATAAAATTAAATAATAACCACATAAAAAAACTATTAACCAGAGCTATTTAAAATATATAATGTATTTATCGGAGTCATTTTTTTATGATTACGACGGGGAACTAATATTTAATTTTTATCCCCATTAAGTTTTTGTAAGGGCTCTATTAACCATTTATTGTACGAGCTTTGACTTGGTTACATTCTAAAAAAAATAGAAAACTTTTATGTGTTGTTCTTGTAAATTTTTGTATACAGTGAACTATATACATTTTTTAGGGAGAGGGATAGAAGGAGTGTAGGGTAAAATATTTTAATAACTCAACATGATATTTAATAGAACAGGCGAATTTTCTTTACTATCCGGCTTGAACTAAAAATGATATTCAATAAAATTTATAACTATTATATTTGGAAATGTTTTATGTAAAGTCATATTAAATGAACATATTCAATCTATAGTTAACCCAGGTCTATCTCATTGACTAGTCAGTGTCGTCACCAGGGGAGGAGATGCGCAGAAGCCAAAATCCCCTGAAAAATATGAAAGCCCCCTCAAAATTTTGAATTTTATTTATATACATGTTGTAATTATGAAAATGTTAGCTAAATAAATTTTGAGCCCCCCTGAGATTGTAAGCCTAGTGAGGCCCCATGTGCCTAGTAGACTATCACATTATTCTTTAAAGCCAAAATCAATCGCACTTAACTTAGTTACCATATTTCTACCACATTTTTTGAATTTCCTAAATATACTCCAAAATTTACTAAAAATGCATTTTAATATTTTTTCAAAAATGCTATTATACGCAATTTAATACTTTGTGTCTTGGTTATATTTATAGAAGACCTCAAGAATATCTTATCTTGATAATAAGATTTTTGTCTTTAAATTCTATTGATTGATGCAAGCGTTATAAGATATTATTTGTATTAACATCTTTATCATTTTATAGATGATAAACCTTAAAGGGATTTGATTTAATGACTATTGGTAATTAACATAAGAAAGAGAAAACGAAAACGATTTCAAAATTCATCGAAGAAACGAAAAAAGGGATGATAAGGATCTCAATTTTTAAAATATTATTTTTAATATTTAAAAAAAAATTAAACATTTTATTTTTCTAAAAACGGGCCACAAAATAAAAACACGAATCAAAAAATAAATGTAATAATCAATCAGTTCATTTAAAATAAATAAATCTATTAAAAGAAACTATTAAAATATGTAAAAAAGTTGGAAATAGGTCAGTAATAATCGCAAAGTAAATTCGAATGATTCTGTAAAAATAAATAAATAATTTTCTTTGATATCCCAAAAAATATTGCAGTGGGCTGGTAGATTATAAGTGTTCTAATTTTCGTTTATTTAAGGGGCTATATATTTAAATTTTGCATTCCGACATTTTGTTGTTCCTATGAAGAATGTGGGGGGGGGGGGGGGTGATTAAACCCTAAATTAAAATTCTAATCGAATATAAATTTTTACTATTTTCTTTGTTTTTCACTTGTGTAAGTAGATTTTATACAAAATTTTTAAGTTCCAACTCTTCTGTAAAAAAATCTTTATTAGTGTTATTAGTTAAATGATGATATTTTATCACAGAAAATTATTTGATGTGAGCTAGCCTATAAGTTTATTTAAAAGATTATTTTTTATCGAAGAAATGTGAAATTGTTTGTTGATAATTAATTAAAGTTAACAGAAAATTATTTGCTCAGGCTTTCGCTTCTTTATATTTAAAATGATAAAATAACTAAATTTTCACTAGGTAATATATATTTAACTCTAATTATCTGCCTTTCCAAGTATTTAAACAAAATGGTTTTTTTAAAAAATTGAATTCTTATGGGAAGATAATTTAATCAAATTAAATTTTTGAAAGAATATTTAAATTATCATGATGATTGATAATTACTTGATAAAGTAGTTAGGAACACTAAATATATTCACTTTTTTATTTTTGTAATGATTCTATTCTATTTTATTACACCTTTCCCTTATTTTTTACGAAAATGATAGAATTTATTATGTTTTATGTCCGAATTCTTAAAAAATATATATACACATATCACATCTCTTTTAATTTTTTTTAAGATTCATTAGTTGTATATTATAAAGTCAAGACACTAATTATCGTTAGATATCTTTATCACAATTCTTATACGTTTTATAGGGAACGCAATAAGTAACGAGATAATGATTATTATTTATTTTTTTGGTTATAATGATAATTTTTTTCATACAATAGATTGTATAAAACAAAATTTCATAAAATTACAAATTTTTTTTTGTCAATTAAAAAAATCTTGTAAATTCCAGGTCTTATGACATGCCATAGTCCATAAGTCAGGAATCGGCTCACTCCTCCGTTATTATTGTCATTTAGAGTGTATCTGAAAAATCGCAACGGGAGGAACCTGATCATAGACCTCCTCCTAACAATTATATTTTATTTAAAGGTACCTTAAGATACTCTATTTTTGTTGTTGTTCGATGCATTCATTTTAAAGATAGTTAAGATAAAGTTTAATAAATTAGTCTTTGAGTTATCTTTCTTTTTATTTAGAGTATATCTTTTATATTGATATGATTTAAACGCTAGTAATAACGGTTTCTCTTTTGTGAGATATCTCCTTAATAACTATAGTCGTTGTAGAGGCACGACACTTATTAGTCGATTGTTTAACGGCTAGATTTAAGCTGATTTTTAAATAGATTAACTCAATAAATGTTTGGAAATCTATTAGCAAAATTTCGAGGCCAAGGCAATATATTCCTAGCTAAAATATTAACCATTTTTAAATTGGCTCAAATCGAGCCGTTTAAAAACTGGTCGAGCCTTTGATGACTCATTCTTTTAAGAAAAATTAATAATATAAAGGAAAAGAAAATATTTTTCTGATTCAAAATACTTTATTTATCTAAAAATGCAATAACAGGACCATATTATTAAAATAATGCTTTTCCGGATTTATGAAGAAAATGATCTTTTAAAATTTTCAATATATTTTATAAATAATTTTTTTGAAAACACTTTAATTAGTGTTTTTGTTTAGTAATTAGCTTGTCTAAGGTTCGGAAAGGGGGATTTAGAATAATATTTACCTGGCAACCTCTTTATAAGATGGAAACTTTATCATTTGCAGACAGTAGATTCTATATGTTAATTTTATCTATATTAAGAAATTAAGTGATTTTATAATATTGAAATGAAGTCGAAAAAATATTGTGTGCTTTCTTTTATTTTAGGGATGCTCTGCACTCCTAATTGAAAAGATAGGAACAAATAGATTCTATCGGTCAGATTTGATGTTGCCAATGATTGACATATATAATATGTCTCAATTTGATTTTAGTCTACTATAAGTTTTTTTTTTTAACCTTATTTAAATTTAAATATGGTTAAAGAACAATTCAGGGATTGCATCGGAGCTATTAAGATGTAGGGATTAATATATAATATAAATATTATTTTTTTGTATCATAGTAACAAAGTATCATTCGGTATTGAAAGTGATGCAAATATTATTAGAGAAGCTCAAACTGAAATAGTTAGTAAAGTGTTATATGAGCCTGGAACACGAAAACCATATCATTTTGGTGTGCTTGATCCAAAAATGGTATCTTATTTTATTAAAGAATATATTATTTTCCTTTAGGGTGTTAGCTCTAAAGATGTTAAATGTGAAACCTGCGGAAAAAATTTAATTGATTGTGTTGGTCACTTTGGTTTTATATCACTTGAACTTCCTGTCTTCCATATAGGATATTTTCGTCTTATAATAAATATCTTACAAAATATATGCAAAGTAATTTTAAATAATAAATTATTAATGATTATAAATATATTAATTTAATTTATGGGAGTTTCTTACTATGCATTCATGATATCTTGCATCTTTCTTTAAATTGAAGTCTTGCTTGCATTTTGGATAATATTTGATTATATGCTTTGATGAGATATTATATAACTGTTTTAACTATTGTTTTCATTTCTGAGGTTTATACAAATCATGATTTAAGCTTTTCACAATTTTTTATTTATAAAATATTGTTTAAATTTTTTGTTTATAAAATATTGTTTAAATATTTATATAATTTTTTTTTCAGTGCACTTATTTCTTTATTTGAGAATGTGTCAAATATATTATACATAAAAAAAATAATAATTGGTTGAAATTAGAATCCCACAAATCATTTTTTTATCCCTGATCCCAGCTAGATACAATTTAATTAATCTTTAATCATGAACCATCTATTTTTTTAAATATTTAAACTTGAGTCATTAATGCAAATATAAATTGCACATATTTTTATAGTAATTTAATTATTAATGGGTTATTTTTGGTTCAACACATAGAGAAAGATTTTTTGCCAGCGGTTTCTAATTCTAAAATATATTATATTGATTATAAAATAGAAGATAAATTTGAGCATACTGCCCAATACAGTAAGGAGTAAAAATGCAAAAATAGGTTGTATTTACCTCTTTTAATTATTTATTTATTTATTAAAAACAAAATAAATTTAAATATTAAATTTGATTTTAGAAAAAACTAAGAAACTGGTGTATATACTGGTAATCTTAGGTTCATAATTAAGTCTATTAAAAATTAGTCTTAATAAATAATAATTTAAAATTAATAATTCAAAAAGACAGTGATCTGCAATTATTTTGATTGTTTTTCCTAAAGTTTATTAAGTGATTAACTAATGTTGCCTTTGATATAATTTCACGGCAAACAAATGTCTATAAAATAAACTCAAATAATAATGTCTAAAAAAGAAAAGATAATTTTTTAAAAAAAATATTGTTTAATAAACATTAGGTATATTGGCTTATTTTAGCCTTATTCAATTATACCAAAAGTTGGAATAAGGCAAACCAGAACTCATTTTAATATTTTGATTTTAAGACTAATTTATAATAGACTTAATCTTTTTATTCAAAAATTTTATAACTTTTTTTAATCAAAATTATAAACAAATCTTTATTTAATTTATTTTTTATAATTTATAAAATTTTATTTTCTTAATTCCAAAATTTTCATTTTGTTCATTATTTTTCAAAATCAAATAATTAATTTTTTTGGGCTGACATCAAGAAAACTTTCATTTAATTAACATTCTTGTCAAAATGACCTGTGGCTGATTTATTTTAAAATCATTTAAATTTTGCTTATATAAGTTAAGAAATATATATAAATTAATATTTTATAGCTTTAGATTAAATGAGTTATTGGGCTCTCGAAGTCCAATATAGGTGCTACCTTGGCTTTAAGAATCTCTAATGACTCCATAAATATATAGTCCAAATCTAAATTATTTATCACATTTTCTATAATAAATTTTTTTTAAAAAAAGGAAATTATGTACTGTCTATGTATTTCCGATAAAATTTTTCTACTTCCACTCTGGAACAATACCGTTTATTAACAATAATTTAAATAAGAATTTAAATAATATTTCGTTTTTCATAACCTAAGGTCTCATTTAGACTGCTGTTTAAAAAACTGTGATAATTAATTGATTTGGACTATAATATTTCATTTGTTTTTAAGTACTGGGTGACCAAAAATATTGTTTTTGATCGATTTATCGTGGAATTCAATCTAACTTATGATGTCAATAAAATTTATGCATTTTTTCTTTACCTTATGAAAAGATTTTTAGTAACTTGGATGCTATTATTTCTTTCCGATACTAAGATTGCTTACGTTTATTTTATATGTCCATTTGCATTTGCGTTTAGTTGTTATTGAAATATTAATAATTAAAAGTATTAATTTGGGTTGGAACCGAATTTTAAAAATTTTATTGTTGTGCCAGACAGGGCAGATCTTGCTGGATTGCTAGCGGTTTCGTTCTGACTAGGACTTGTATCTAACTTGGCCGGAAATTGAAAATAATGGCACGTGCATGATATTTATAAAAAATAATCCTTCTTAGCGCCAATTTTATTTAATCCCATAAGAATATTTAATTATTGTTATTTTGACATTTTAAAAAAAGACCAATAGTAGTTATATTTTTTAACCAGGATCCTTGCCTATTTTAAAGCTATAACCTATATTTGGGTCTCTCGCAGAGCTCTAGTTGACATCTTTCTTGCTGTTGGTTTTATTGCAATAATCCTATATTATCACTATCATAAGAAATTTTTTTTTGCTCAAATCAATGATATCATCAATATTCTGGCATTGCGTTTCAGACTTATCATTGTAATATTTGTATTGATTTAACTACCGAAATCTTTAGGTAGTCGAAGGAGATCATCATCCACGGGAATGTTCTAGAACTTTCGATAATATTAAAGTTTAAGGCCTCATTTATAGTAAACGCGTTATGTTCAAGCGAAAAGCAGCGTTATTTACAAAAAAACATTACTCTGCTTTCACAGTTATCGCGAATTCGCGGCGAATTATACCAAAATTAATGTAAAATTATTATATTCATATCATATTTTTTGGATTCAGGTCTATCGCATTAATCAAAATAGTCGAAACATACTCACTTTATGTTACCTCTAAAAAATTTAAAGAAATAACATATAATATAAATATATATTTAGAAAGATTAATAGATAAAATATATATAAATTAATTAAATATATATAAACTTATATTTAAATTAGGGGTGTACAGATACCACTATTTATAGGCCGATCCGATCCCACTCGATATTCCCTATATTAAATTGATATCGGCCGATTACCGATCCGATATCATATCTAATTTTGTATTCTGTAAAGATACCAATTGTTTTAATTTTTAATATACTTTTTATTAGTATAATATCTATAATTTAACTATACCATAACATATGTCATTCCGATATTTTAAAATTGGCGAAATATCGGTACATCCCTAATTTAAATATTACATACATATATATGTATTAATTACATATATAATTGAAAAATATACCATGTATAATTTACCTACATAATATGATGTTATTAGAATTTAGGTGTATATTATCAATATCTTAAATAATACCTTTATACAGTGTTGTGCAGATTCGATAGAAAATATTTGTACATTTTTTTTAAAATTTATTCACAAATAAAATTATTTAATTTGCAAAAATTGTTATATATTCTTATAATTGTTTTGCATATGAATTAAAAATATGATTTATGAATTTTTCATACGTTTTATTTAGTTAATATGTAAAACACATTATTATTTAATTCATATTAAAAGTTGTGGGTTCAAATAGATGCTAGCTTTGATACAATCTACATGTATGGGGTGTGTATTAGAGGACTGCATTAAGCGGGGTTTCGGCCCGGTGGGCGGGTTAAGGAAATTTAAAATAAACTAAAAAAAAAAAAAATTGTTTAAATGAACTATAACATTATTTCTTTTTTTATTGTACCAATCGATTTTTTTAAGTGGAGAACATTTACCTAACTAAATTATGTAATAAACACAACAATAAAACTTTTTTCTTAGAATAAATAAACATTTTTGTCTATTAAAAATTTCCTTTTATGGGAATGTAATAAAACTTTTCTCTTAAAATTTCCTTTTTTTGGGTTTGCAATCTGCATTTGGTTTCACTTTTATTTGAAGATCTATTTGGGATATCCTACTTTGGTGGAAACGAGAAGAAAGAGATTTGCCAAAGCTATCAAGATTAGCAAGAAAAATATTGCCAATTCCTGCAACTAGTGCTTCTTCCGAACGCGGATTTAGCATTGCTGGAAGATTTTTAGAACAAAGAAGAACGTGTTTGAATCCAGAAAATGTCGATTCATTATTATTTTTGCATTATAATTACATATAATATTAAATTTTACATTTATATTTTTTTTCCATAAATATTCAATTTGATCAAATAAATTGTCCATAATTTACATTGATTATTTTTATACCTATATTAATTTCCTAATTTATAAACTTTTCGTAGAGGAGTAATGAAATATTTTTATTAGATGCTTAAAAAAAAATTAAAGAATGACCATAATTAAATTTTATAAGCCGGCGTGGGTTAAAATTTTTTTATAAATAATGGGAGGGCAGGTAAAAAATTTTAGATTAATGGGCGGGTATATATTTTTTTAAAAACTGTGGGCTGGGCGGGTTAAATTTTTTTTAAAACATTGGGCGGGCTTTTAGTCCAAAAACCCGCCCAATGAAGACCTCTAATGTGTATTAGCCATTTACCTGCATATATATTTCAGGCTTATGAGGCGAGCTTCCATGGGGTAGGAAGGAAAAAATATTTAGAGTAGAGGGTGTTGTGTTTTTCTAAATCTATACTAATTTATGAGACATACCAGGTCATATCTCAAATAATATCTATGGTTAGTAGATTTAAGACCCATCTTTAGATCTCTAACGGGGATGATAATAAATACTTGATAGTCCAAATCTCGATGTTCGAATATCGAGTGTGCTCATTGTTATTGTCATCTTCGTAACTTTTTATTGACTCGCAAAATGGGTATAAATAAGAAAAAAAATTTAGTTTTTATTTCTTGCTAATACGCCATTTGGCGTAAGTCTATCATCTCCCATATTGGTGCTAAAATGTATTTTTTTATTAATAAATCACAAAAATATCTAACAAATATAATGAGTCATATTAGACTTTTGCAAAAATATGATGAAAAAAATCTATAGATAATTCCATCTTACATTTTTACTTGTTAAATATTCGAAAAACAATAAATATCTTACTGCACTAGAAGCGAAAAATTGAGGTTGGATCAGATCATAAGTAGAATATTCATACTTTTTTTAACAATTGCTTTATCCCATAAATTAATGATATATTTTTGTTTAAAATATGTCTATAACCTATCAAAATCATTTTTAAAATAATTTACTAATAAATCTTATTTTTTGATGATAATATATTTTATTTGTTAAAAAAATAATCAACATTTATAAATTTATTAGTGATATATCAATGTATTATTGTAAGATAAAACGATAATATAATTTAAATATTGAAAACTATTATTAGTTTTAATATTTAAAATTTACTAAAAATGATATTTTATCTAAAAATTGAGAAATATCAAATGTTCTTTCATAAATTGTGGTTAAATTAGCAATTTTCTTATCAATTCGTTCGTATTTTCTATTTTTTCGTTGCACAGTAGATCCATTGTTAATTTGTATAATTTCAAGGTCATTATAATGTTGCTGATTTATTAAAATTTTTATAAGAATATAAATATTAGGATGAGCATGCTCAGTCTTTCTCTTTAAGGCATGATGAAACCCTTCCAAATGGTTATTGGTACGGGGGCCACTAAATAAAGATACGAAAAAATTTTGAATTTATTAATTATGTTTTATATATATTGTCCATATGCGATGGGGAAATATGGCATTATGGTTTAGCCATGTCGTATCCATATACTCCATAAAATTCAGGAGCATGGGATTTTCATACGACATCGCATAGCAATTTTGCCTAACTCGAGAAACATCTTCCTCCTTACAAAAGGGCAAAGTTGTCATCGGTCTCACAACTTTGTGAACATTGGAATGGGTCAGGTACATGCTCACCAACCCAAAAGATTGACATCTGCACCATAACGCTTGGGAATAATGGAAAAAAAACATCCTAAACAAAATCATATTAGAATATAAATCATGAATCTAAAATCATGTTAGGAAATACAAACCTGAAAGCTGATACAGAAGCTGTCTAAAAGTCTGTTTGGCTAAATTCAAAGGATATCTGGCGTTTGGCACATAAATTATATGTTTCCCCTGTTTTATCGGAAGCAGCGCATAAGACGAGGTACCTAAACACCTTCGTACATAACATATAAGGTATATAGTTGATAAAACAAGCTAGGAGCTACATGAAAAGTTCCATCCATGAGGCGCATGACAACCTTGCCCTTTTTGTAAGGAGGAAGATATATCTCGGGTAAAGCAAAATTGCTATACTATGGCGTCTGAAAATTCCACGCTCCTGTATTTTATGGAGTATATGGATACGACATGGTTAAGCCATAATGCTATATTTTCCCATAGCATATGGACAAGGTGTATAAAAACATAATTAATAAATTCAAAAAATTTTCTTATCTTTATTTAGATATAAAGACGATGGCCCCGCACCAATAACCATTTGGAAGGGTTTCATCAAGCCTTAAAGAGAAAAACAGTGCATTCTTATAAAACTTTTAATAAATCATCAGCACTACAACGACCTTAAAATTATCCAGATTAACAATGGATCTACAGTGCAGCGAAAAAATAGAAATTTGAAAGAAATTGATCAACAAATTACTAATTTAACAGCAATTTATGAAAGAACGTCTGAAATTTCTGAATTTTTAGATAAAATATCCTTTTTAGTAAATTTTAAATATTGAAAACTAACAATAGATTTCCGTAATTAATTTTATTACAGTTTTATCTTACAATAATAAATTTATAAATGTTGATTTTTTTTATATAAAATAAAATATAATTATAATCAAAAAATAAGAGATTTATTACTAAATTTTTTAAAAAAAATGATTTTGATTGGTTAAAGACAATTTTTAACAAAAATATATCATTAATTTGTGGGAAAACATTCTACTTACGATCCGATCCAACCTCGATTTTTCGCTTCTAGTGCACTAAGATATTTACTCTTTTTCAAATCTTTAAATAGTAAAACTGTAAGATGCAATTATCTATAGATATTTTTTTTCACCTTATTTTTGTAAAAAACATGTGACTCATTATATTTGTCAGATATTTTTGTAATTGGTTAGTAAAAAAAAATGCATTTAAGGTAGACTTGCGCCAAATGGCCTATTAGCAAGAAACAAAAACTAGATTTTTTTCTTATTTATACGCATTTTCCGAGTCGATGCATTAATTTTTGTATAATTCGCCGCGAATTCGCGCTAACTGTAAATGCGGGTTTATGATGATAACGCTATCATAAAATTTGAAAAAAAACATGTAGCAATGCGATGATAAAAATAATAACGAATTCGTTTTTAAAATATTTATTTCTATTTTGGCATTATCTATTAAAATATCGCTGTGGAAAATCAGCCGTGGTTTTGTTAACGTCAAAATAACGCAAAGCGTGAACTTAACGCGTTTACCTATTAAAGTTGAGTACTTTTGGGATGATTTAGTTATATTATAAGTACATGTTAAATAAAGAAGAGTGACTATTTAAAAATCACAAAACTCCTTCGAAAAGATACCAATTATTATATATATATTTTTTGCTTATTTAAAAAAATTACAAAATAAATAGAATTGTGGTAAAGTTTTGTTGTCCGAAAGTCAGAAAGAACATTACTACACCATTCTCAGGAAACCTAACATCAGCTATTTGCAACGCAAGGCCTTACGGAAAAAGATAAACGAGGTTTGCAAGAAAATCAACCTGTGCCCTCACTGTAACACCTATAACGGTAAACTATTGATTTAAATAAAATAATGCGGTTCTCCAATGAGGTGGCCTAACACTTAATCCCGCATTAGCAGTTAGCGCGGATTTGCTGCGAGGTACACTTCGTCGCGAATTCTCGCCAACTGTGAATGCACGGTAAAAAGGGCAATTCTAATCTTTTTCTAGCTTATAATAATATAGCTATGACAATGACATATAATAATACCTAGACTGACGACGCATTCATTAAAAGTACACCAATGAAAACAGCGCTATTTTAATTACCCATATCATTATTAAAAATTTTAAACGATAGGCCAATTTATTCCTATGTTTGACGCAAACTTTATCAATGAATTGTCCGATTATCTAAATCTAGATAATAAGGAAGCAAGTTATCAATTTAATAGTAGTTTTTAACATGAGAATAATTATTACCAAAATGGCTGGGCCAGCTGTTTCGCATTCAACGGCATAATGCATCATCAGCCTAGGTATTATTACGTGTCATTGGGCGATGGTCGATTTATAGAACATCTTTGGGGAGGGGAAGGGTTAGATTTAGATATCATATTAAAAAGGGACCTCTGGTTATGTTGAACAAATCAGTATTTTACTTCTTCTTTTTTTGGCCAATCGCTACACGTGTCAAATTTTTATTCGTAATTATAATAGAAATAAAGTCGATTTATTTTAATAATGTTAACGTGACATGTTAAATATTAAATTTTGAAAAATGTCATGTTTATTTTTTTCTCATTTTTTAATTTTATTTCTTTCTTAAAATATTTTTGTTATTTAATTTTTTTTTAGAGGATTACGAATTTTTATAAATATACCAATTAGGCCCTTTGCGTATATAATTTTCGCGGTTAGTGAGGGCCAGTAAGACCGGACAGAGGGGCTAAAACCTTTTTTTTTAATTTCGGTAAGGAGTCGGCTGTAAATAACTGATCCTATGCAGCGATCTTTATATTTAGACTAGAAATCACGTGATCACAACTGGTCCGTGGAAATTTTTATCGGGATTTCCGGTTCTTGTCCGTTTTTATGAAGGAAAACGACATGATCAGCTTTAATAAAAAAATTTTAAACTTTGGCCTTGTCCACAAATATATCGCACGATTTATCTGGCATGGCCTGGAAATGTTTTTACCCAGACTGCCCCTTACCGGGTATTATGGACCAGACTGCCCCATACCCTTAATATAAACGATAGCCAATCATTTTTTTACAATAAAATAAAAGGTCAGGTCAAAAAATGCGGTATGCTCAAAATATCTTACGAACAATATAAAACTGCGCCCAAGGACATTAAAACGAAATCAAATAAGGACCTAGCACAATTTTACGACGAGGCCATGGAAGAGAACAAAGAATTGACCCAATACTTCAAACCTATCGTAAATTTGTTCAAATTTTTTTTCTCGAAAAAAAATGCTATAATGATATAGTTTATAAAACTGTTAATTGAATTCTTAATTATCGATTTTTTTTTGTCAGCTCGATTTCTTAGGCACGTTTCCATCAATTATTTTTTAGACTTCCTAACATGATACGATATTTTTTTTGTATGATATTAATAAGACGCCATTTAATCATTTTATAAATGGAGCTCAGGTTTATGTATCATGATTGAATATTTTTTTTAAATCTCTTTATTATCACTTTTAAGAATTGTAAACTATATTTTTTTCAAATGCATTGATACAAATCCTTACCCACGCCGATACAAATACATTTTTCCCGAATGTATTCGATACGATACTTTAAATTATGTCCCGATATATTTTCGATACATTTTTTTTGGAAATGATTTAATAATAATTTAACAAACGCATTTATATTAAAAATAACAATACACGTATCATTTTATTTTAAGGATAAAACGTTATCAAAATTTCTAACTTAGGAGGCATCCTCCTATCAATAAAATCATAATAGTGGTAACCTGGTTCGCTGGAAGGAATTGTAGTGTTATATTTAGGGCTGTGCCGATCCACATATTTTTCACCGAATCCGATATTTTCCGATATTGGTTCAAAACCAATCCGATATTTATACTGATTTTTAACCCCCCCCCCCTTTAAACCAAATGTAATTAGAAATCAATATTTTTTATGCAAAAAATCGAATTATGCATTTAATTTAATTTTTTTTATTTCAACAATTAAGATTATAATTAAAAGAAATTATATTATAATAGATAAAAAAACAATTATAATTATGTAAAATAAATATACATAACATAAAAAAAGAAAAGTAAAAAGGTCGGATCGGGTTTTTACAGGTATCGGCCCGATCGGATATTTTCTAAAACGGTAAATATCGGTGCCGATCCGATCCGATATTTAATATCGGCACAGCCCTAGTCATATTTAATAAATAATTGTTTAATATAAGGTAAATTATTTAAAATAGCGAATTCATTAAAACATTATTAAGGTTTTGTTTTATATTTAAATTATATTTAAATTTATTAAGATAAAATGTAAAATAACTCAAAATAATAAACAATTTAAATATATTTATTTTTTATTTTAAGATATAGTAATATGCGAAAATTTAATATATCTTTTTTTTCCCAAATTTTTTTATTTAAAAGTATAGAATAACCTACAATGGAAGATATAAGATAAAATATAAAATTATTCGCTTTAATTAATTCAGATCTAAAAAATAATCAATTAAACAATATAAATATTTCTTTTATTTATTGAAAAATAGAAATAAATTAACCTTTATAATTTAAGATAAAAGTATCCTTTTTAATCTCGATACATAAAATATATAGGGCGACGCATTGATATTTCAGCGGCATCACGATGCGCTAAAATGTTTCGGATACAGTATCACCCACCGATACTTTAAAAACTTTCCTACTTTTTTGTTTCATCGTTATTATTTTAACACATTTACAATAACACAAAAGGAAATATTGAACCCCTTGCGGGTCTTGGAGATGTTTTCTCGCATCCCAAGACGCGAATGCCTCTTGCTGGTCATGAACCAAGACCTGTGCCGACCGGAAAATTTGATCATCTCGAAACTACCCGTTCCTCCTTGCTGCATAAGGCCAAGCGTATCGTCGGACATCAAAGCCGGAACCAATGAGGACGACCTAACAGTCAAACTAACTGAGATCATATTCCTCAACGATGTCATTAAGAAGCACAAAATCACGAACGCTAAAATGCACATGATTATGGTAATTTTTTTTTCTTTCATGATTGACATGACCCATTTCCTTATCTTTTGTAGGGATCTTAACCAAAATCTCTATTAGTTATTCAAAATTTTTACAAATTAATCTAAAGATTGACCACGATTTAATTTCTCATATTGGTTCAAAATGTAACCCCTCCTTCAGTGATCAATTTGTAAGAGTTTCATTTTTATATTTGACAGCTACAATTTGAAGAATTACATGGGGGCCTTATTTTGCTGCTCCATTCCAATTCTTTTAAAATCAAAAATATTTTATAACCCATTTTGATTCCATTTCCGGTTATCTTTTAAGATTTATTTAAAATTTTTATATATTCATTAATTCTGAGAAGCACAAATGTATCGCAAGGGACCCAGAAAGTTCCCGTTTCTTTTCTTTTAATCACTCTAAAATATGACGCTCTGTTTGGACCTTAAACATTTTTCGTGATTTTGCGGCACAAAAATATACATTATATTTTGAATACAACTTTTTCCTTTCATTTTTGATTTATTATTGCAGGAAGATTGGGACTACCTCCAACTACAGTGTGCATTGTATATCAACAGCGAAACCTCTGGAATACCATTGAGTATGCAACCTAAAAAGCCGTCTAGAGGCTTAGTTCAAAGGTAAAAATTGTAAATGATTTTGTGGATTGACTAAATTTATATAATTTATTTTATTATATTATAAAAAATTTAACTTGTATGAAACATTTGGTTTTCAGTCTCAAAAAAGGTTTGATTAAGTGTAGAAAATTACCCTCCAATTGCTTACGATACGAAGATTTAGCACTCTTTTTGTAAATTTAATTTTAAGCACCCATCAAAAATATTCTCTCAGACCCAATTGGTTTAATTTAAGTTTTCATATCGATTATTCGATATTACAGCTAAACTTGTAAAGCGTGGCCACCTAGTCTTTACCTCTGCCCTCTTTAGATCAGTTCCATCCCTGTCGATATCCTTATTTTAAAACAAATGTTCTCGAAATGTTTCTATAAGCACACTTTATGTACTATATACCCTATGGATGCTTTAAATGTATTTTAATAAAAGAAATTTTTTTTATGTTTTAAATGAAAAAAAGACTAAAGGGTAAACAAGGTAGATTTAGGGGTAATTTATCCGGCAAAAGAGTGGATTTTTCCTCCAGGACTGTTATATCACCCGATCCAAATTTGAATATCGACCAAGTTGCGGTTCCCATACATATAGCCAAAATTTTGACTTTTCCCGAAAAGGTTTATTTAAAAATTCTTAGAGTTTTTCACTGAAAAAATTATATTTATTTATGCTGAAAAAATTGACATTCTTCTATATGATTCATCTGCTAAAAGGTTACTCCATCCAATATCCATTTTTTGCGCGCACTTATATTGAATGGCTCTGACATCCATCCCGGCGCAAATTTCGTCGAAGATTCCGCAACCAAATTCAAAAAGTAATTATTAATAAATTTTCCATTACTTTTCCTAACATTAACATTTTTTTTTTAAAAAAATATGCAAAGTTTGGCCTTTGAGGATTTTGAGCTAAAAATCTCTTGAAGATCGTTAAATTAAAGATTTTTATACCCCAAAATTTTTAGCTAAAAATCGCTTGAAGATCATGAAAGTAAAGTTTTTTTTGAACAAAATTTTGAGCTAAAAATCTCTTTCGAAAAATCATTAAATTAAATATTTTTAATATCCAAAATTTTGCTCTAAAAACCTCTCATAAAATTCGAGATTTTCAAATCTCTGGAAAATCTTAAAATTAAAGATTTTTATTGTCGATTTTTTTTTCTCCTATTTTATTAATTTTGTAATTTATGATATCTTAATAAAGGGGATTTTCTTTCCGGGGAATTATTTTCTTAGATTCAAAATTTTGAAAAAAAAAAGAATAGCATAAAATTCTTAAATCTCTGTCATAAAATTAAAGTTTTTTTTTAAAAAAAAATCATGTAATATTTTATATTGCCTTAAAAATTACAAAAAAATGATTTGGAATTATAGGTAAAATTTGATCAAAAATCCTGTATGAGCATTCTCAAAAAAAAATCTTCCGAGATCCAAAATTTATGAAGATTTTTATATTTTAAAGACCATTTCAAATCCGTGCCCGCTCTTCTTAAACATACCATCTCTCGTTACCTAAAACATATTTATTTTAGGGATTATTAACTTAGATGGGAAGTTTCTATTTTATATTTCTAGCAAAAGATGCAAAAAAAAATTTGGAAAGAAAAAAAAAGAAATACATTACATTTGCGTTTAAAATCTTTTTTTAAATTTAAATTTCAAAATTATTCAAAACTAATTTTTGCCCCTTTTCAAAGATTCCTCAAATACAGCGACCGGAAAAAGATTGCCTCCGAACTCAAACACGGCGATATTGTAGAAAGGCATTTGATAGACGGGGATATAGTGTTATTTAATCGTCAACCCTCTCTGCATAAATTGAGCATCATGTCTCATTTTGTAAGTTACTTTTTCCATCTTGTACTTAACTTAGGTTAGGGCAGCATAATAAAATACAAAACAAAATAAAAGAGTTTTTAAACTCGTAAAAATTTTTCCAGCGTTTAACAATGATTCCCTCGCTTTTAGTATTTTTTTTAAAAAAAAACACCCGCAATCGAAAAAAACTTGTTTTTTTTTAAAAAAAAAATACATAGATTGGCGCCAATTTCAAGATTGATTATTATCAGAGACCTGCAGAATTACCATTTGCACGTTTTATATTTTCAGGCCTGGCCTGGTCCCGTTTTTTTCATAAAATTTTTAAATGTGTTATAATTGCTGTAGGCAGTCAGTTAGTATTGATGTATTAGTTTCTTTTTTGTTATATAAAATAATCGGTTTTTGTTTGTTAATTTTTTGATATTATTGTTTATTTTTTAAATTGTTAATTTTGTAAAAGAATAATAATTATATATAATAAAATAAGAAATATATATATATCATTATAAAAAAACATTGATTATTATGAATATTATCATAAAAGATTTTTCTGTGTTTAAAAATTTTAATTAATTTGTTTTTAAAAAAAGATATGATATTTATTTTTTTTTTAAAGTTTGTAAAAATATTGTTTTTTTTGAAGGAAAATAAATTAGTTTTTGAAATTTAGTATTTTGTGTGTAATAATTTTGTATAAGAAGAAAATTTTAAAAAAAAAGTAAAAATAAAGGATTTGTTAAAAGAGAAAAACAAAAAAACTCTGAACCAAAGTTTGTAAAAAGAAAACAAAAGCTCAGAACCGATCTTATTAAAACTACCGATCCTACACCTCCTTTGTAGCGGTAAATTTGTCAATAATTATTTTTAATTTTTTACAGATAATAATGGCGATTTAAAATATTCGGCCCAACCTAAGTTTTTTTAGGGCCTGGCCCGACTCGAGTATATTTACGAAAATTTAATTACGACCTGGACCACGTACCCCATCTTATGGCCGTGCCTGACTATTCTTAGATTAAAATGTGCTACATAGCTATCACGCCATTTTGGCTTCCTATATAAGAATTTTATTATTCATTATTTGCAATCATGGCATGTCACCAGCTGATAATATTATATGGCTCCGATTTAGCCAATTTTAAAATTAATATTTTAAGCCCTAATAATATTACTCAAGTTTCGAAATTTTGTTAATAAATTAGATGTCTACATCTTTCTGCCATCCATGAGTAAAAATCTCCAGGCTTGCACAATATTTTTTGGCCAAAATATTAGGGTTAGTTGTTTTTTAAAATCTAGCCTTTTATAACAACATAACCAGCTTATTTGTATTTATACACATTTAAATGAATGAATGTTCAGTGTAGGTGGTATAATTTGTCATTGGGATAGTCTTTTATCTATTTATTAAGGAAGATAAGGGTAGGCCATATTTATTAATTTTTTTTACAACCTCGCTGATCAAAATATATGATTGTAAAAATAAAGGCAAAAGTGATGCCAGCCAAGACGTTTCGTTTTAACGAGTGCGTTTGCGCGCCTTACAATGCCGATTTTGACGGGGACGAGATGAATCTACATTTGCCGCAGACCCAGGAGGCCCGTGCCGAGGCCGCTGGACTAATGTCAGTCACCAACAATTTGGTTACTCCTCGGAATGGCGAGCTCATGATTGCTGCTACCCAGGATTTCTTAACCGGTTTGTAGAGAGAAGAGAAAAACTTTGAATATAATTTAACCAGAATTTGGAACCTGAATCATCGAGGGTTCTTTGCTTTTGGTTCTGAATATTTAAAAAAGAGAAAATTGTCCCACTTCCGGTATCCTAAAATTTTGAAGAAAGAGGTTTATGCTCGGGTTCCTAAATTTGACCCGCCTTGGAGCCCCAGGTCGTTTCCTAAACTTTATTAAGGAAATAATAAAAAATTAATTAAAATTAAATAAAATATATTCTACATAATGAATTAAGCAACATTTTTATTTTTTTGTTTAAGATCTCTTTATCAGAGACCTGGGCCTGGCTGTATTTTATAATTTTTGGAAATATCCAGGCCAGGCCTAAAAGTTTTTTTAAAAAATTGCATTACCATTAAACAAATTATCAGTTAATATGTACATTTCAAAATTTTTCACCAGTAGTTAGCCGACGAAATAGCTAGATTCCATGTTGTTTCTAAACTTGACCTGAATGCAGCCAAATACTTTTTTTAAATAAAAAAGTTCATGAGTGGTCTGAACTTGGACAAGTGAGTTATATTCACCAGCTTATTTAAAATCACATTCGTTACAATGCAAATCTGCATTATTTATTTATTTTATTTAGGATCATTAATGAAATGATGTTACATGTTGTAATGAATTTTTTTTAAAAATGAATTCGCTATATAATTTCTTTGCCCAGTTCTCAATACGATTTTTTTTTTGTAAATCACCAAGAAAAATTTAATCAACCGTTCATGACCCCAACTTATTTAACTTTGTGTGGACAAATCACTTTGTAACGCTGAAACCCGAAATTGTAAATAACACATGTCTCGAAATCATGGTAGAGTTATCGAAAGATTTTAGTTAAAAAACCTACGAATAATTGGGGAAAGTTGCATTAATTAATGCGCACGCGGACAGAGAAGCATTAATACTAACTCTTTTTGCCGATATCGATACCCGGATATTATATGTGTAACGGTTACCCGTATATTATGTAGTGGTACCCTTTTTTTAAGGCTGATATGATATTGTATTGATTTCTGCCGATTACCTATCCTATGTTCATTATACATATATAATTTTTCGTTATAGTCATCTACTTTTCCCGATGGTTCGCTACCATCTATGACTATACCACAACCATTAGCATAAGTTATTTTTTTTAAAAAAACCAAATTTTAATTAACCTTATTATTTTAGACTTATTTCATTATATATTCGTCAAATCTAAAAATATATAAATATCCACAAATCATTTATTTATGTAGTAAAATGGTTGTATTTTGTTTTTTATTATTCCAAATATCTTTTGTAGAAAATAGTACTCTTCCAGTCTATTTAATGATAAATGTAAATTGTTACAAATTTTAAAAAAAATTATTTATTTAAGTTTTAAAATAATAAATCATCCTTATAAAATTATGCATTTTTTTATGTATTAATTATTTAGTTCCTTCTATAGAATATTATCATTTTCGATTATATTAGAATGTTCTTTACTTAATAAATATATTTTATTTTAAATATATTTTTTTAAAAAAATCAAATATCAAATGATGCAAAATTATTTTTAAACACATATTATTGGAGCGGAAAATTTAATAACATCGGCTGATAACCGATATTTTAAAAATAAGGAATAGTCGTTCCGATCAAAACCGGTCCCGACATCGGTTGAAATATCCGCAAAAAAATCATTAGTATTTTTAAAAAATAATTCCTTTAGGAAAGAAAGTAGGCGTGAAAAAAAAGGAAAAAGAAACAATTTTAAAATAATTTAGAGGTGATTTAATTATAATTATGATCTGCTCCTTGTAATTGTTCCAGACGTCTATGAAGGGTTGAAGCCTCATTAAAAACAACTCAATTATACCTTTTATTTTAAAAAAAATAATGCGAACTATTTTTTCTAATTTTTGGAATTATTGAACTTTTAAACTATATCTCTTCTATTAATAGGTTCGTACTTACTCACTCGAAAGGACGTATTCCTAACCAAGTATCAAGCTTGTCAATTGGTGACAGCTTTCCTAGTCGGTAATGATTGCAAAACGGTATTCGATCTGCCAGTACCAGCCATAATAAAGGTTTTTTTAGTTAAAAAAAATAATTCCATAATATTACAGCTTTTCGGAATAATATTATTTAGTCCACAATTGATTTAGTTCTACCATTTACATTGGCCGATATTTGACATCATTTCTATTAAAACCTATTTATAAATAAAAAGCCGATAAAATTGTGGACGGGAAAACAAATCTTCAACTCGATTCTTAGACCTAGTCTGCGTAGCGACATTAAAATAAGCCTTAGAAGTAAGGGCAAAAATTACAGCGGCAAAGGGGAAGATCTCTGCGTCAACGATGGTTGTAAGTTATTGAAATATTTATCATTCTGAAGAATTCTAACAAAAAAATATAATGTGTTAGGCTTTAAGCTATATAATGAATTTTTATGTAATGTTTAAATGTGACACTAAATATTTCCGTCTTATTGTTTTTACTTTATCATGAGACTTTACACTATTCTCCCTATCAAATCAAAAAACATTAGTCATAGTGGTCCGTAATGGAACTCTTATATGTGGTGTTGCCGACAAATCCCTGTTAGGCTCGGGCACCAAGCACGAATCAGCCTTTTACTCTATATTTCGATATTTCAACTCCCGCCAAGCTGCAATCGCCATGATACGCGTTTGTCGAGTTTCTGTCGCCTACTTAAAGGACCACTCCGGTTTTAGCATTGGTCTAGGTGACGTAACCCCTGGTCGGGGACTATTGAAAGCCAAGGCAGAGCTGCTCACTAAAGGCTACGCAACCTGCAAGGGGTTTATAGAGGCTCTGGCCAGAGGAGAACTTACATGCCAGCCGGGTTTGATTTTACTATTTTCCTTGTTTTGTAGGATAGGCAAGTTGTATTCGATCCCATTACCAAAAAATTTCACTGGCGTTGGAGAGAGCGGGGGGAGGGGTATAATTTTATATGCATTTATTAAAATTATTTTGAACTTGGTTAGTGTTAATTGCTTACCAACAAATTATTTTATTATTTACTCGATTTTTGTAAACATGATTAATATTAATAAAAATAAATGTTATATTCTAAAAATGGAAAAATATCAGAGTTGTTAAAAGATACTTTTAAATGGTTCTAGATACAGATACAACGTCTAAAATAATATCTAGATACAGATTATTTAATCAAAAATCTATCTAGATACAGATACCACATTTTTATATCTAAATACAGGGTATCTAGATCCTTTAACAACTCTGAAAAATATACAAGCGCGAAAAAAAAGGTAAAAGATTATTATTTATATTTTACTTTATTATTGATATATTTTTCCTTCTTGCTATAAAATATGTCGTTAAATGAGTTAATAAAAATTTACTAGACTTGAATTCTGATTAACTGCGGTAGAAAAAAAATTGGTTGATTACCAAAAATAAGTAAGAGTTGAAAGTATATGGCGCCACAAACACAATCAGACATTGGACAAAATTTTAAATCTTCTTCGTTTTATGGCGATTTCCAGGATTTCTCATGTAGGCCAGTTTTCCCTCTGATTTTACCTTTCCATTTTTGATGGTTCTGATCATCAATATTTCTAAGATTCCTGCTTCTCATAGCTATCACATTTATTCACGTCATCTTGGGCCTTCCTCTAGGTCTTGATCCCTTACTTCCATGAAGGTGCGTCTCTTTACCCAGTTATACGTCACACATGCCCAAACCATCTTAGTATTTATATAACATATTGAAAATAAAATTAATTTTTAATATATTCTTTTGATATATGCGTAAATACTTCCAAAAGTAACTAGTTACTTTTGACATTTACATTCCAAAGTATATAACAAGTTAGAGTTACTAGTTGTATGATATAAAGCAACAAAGAGGGGAGGGAAGGAGGGTCTGTAAATCCAAATATAAGTTTCTGCCAAAAAGAGCGCAGGTTACCCTGTTTTATGGCTACATTATATTATAAAAAAAAATTCTTATAAAACATTTAATTTTTAAAATTAAACTTTTATATCATCCTCATTGTGGGTTGTCTTCTTAAAAGTGATTTAGCAAGTATAACTGAGAATAGAGGAGAGGGTACGAGAGATTGAAATGAACATTTTATGCACACTAAATCTTCATTTTTTAAAAAAAAAAAAATCATAATTCGCAATTAAAATCAATTATCAGTTTTAAATTATTTAATTAAACTTTATTTTATTTCAAAAACGTACAAAAATAAATATTGAACTAGGATGCACTCCGGATCAGACATTAGAAGCAGTTATTTTGAAAGAGCTATCGGTGATTAGGGAACACGCTGGGCAGGCTTGCCTGAAAGAACTTCCGGCATCTAATTCTCCCCTCATTATGGCTTTGTGTGGTTCCAAAGGTTTGTTTATTTAGTTTTTTTTAAAAAATACTATACAGTTGATTTCAACTTGACCCCAACCCAATGTTGATCCCTCTCTGTTCCAAATCTTATAATGTTTATCAAAATGTTCGATATTGTATTGACCACTTCCCTACCATCTCCGTGACCTGACTCCCAGGGGACACTTCATTGTATTATGTAATGCATAACATGTCTTTTTTTATTATTGGGTATTCATTATATCATTCTATTACTGACTCGCTCATTTAGGCATACACTTTTATTATATCTCGGAAAATCAATACCCCTTAGCCCCAGGCTATTGCCATATGATGATGACAACTTTAAAATTCTTCCTTCCTATTTTTTTTTGTTTAAAAACTTATAGATATATGATTGATTATATTTTTCTTAAATATATTTATTATACATCTAATTCCATTTTTTTGGCACACGTCTTAATATATTTTTTTTTACAATCTTAATTTTTGGAATTTAATTTATATTTACTTTAATTATGTTAGGCTCCTTCATTAACATCTCCCAAATGATAGCTTGTGTTGGACAGCAAGCCATAAGTGGTCAACGTGTTCCTAACGGTTTTGAAAATAGGTCTTTGCCACATTTCGAACGATACTGTAAAATATTTATCTTATATTCTTTATATACTATATTCTTCTCCGTTTAATGCCGATTTCCTGGTTTATCTGATTTTTCTTTTCCATTTTTGAAGGTCCTGGACATCAATATTTGTAAGATTCATTTTTCTCATATCCGCCGCTATCACCTTCCACGTCATCTTGGGCCTTCCTCTAGGTCTTGATCCTCCTCCTTCCATCAAGCATCTCTTTACCCAGTCATCTTTTGTCTTATGTTCCACATGCCCAAACCATTTTAGTATATATATATATATATCTCTATATAAGGAAACTTGGGACACTTGCGAATATATGATTGATAGATTATTCTTAACATTGACTATACATCAATACTAGAGGATGTAAAAAATGAGAAAAAAAACTCTAACTATAAATATTTCGGGGAAAACACTTAAAAAATATAACACAAAAACGAATCTTAGATATCATTTCTATTTTTATAACGGAAAGGAATTTTTTTTTATAACAAATTATAAAATAATTGTAATTGAGATCATAAAAAATTTGCAACAAAATATTGGTAGATTATATTTTCCACGAGGAAAGTAATATTTAAAGGATAAAAAATGCAGTTTTTCCTTTCCCCAATCAATATTCCTGCATTATTTAATTACTTTTGTAATGATACATTTTTATCATTTAAATTTTTTTTAAAAAAAAGGTAGGTAACAATAACTTCACTTTCTTCTATTTATTTAGTTGAATTCACGGCTCGTATCATTTGATTGATTAATATTCCAACTCAAAGAAATCGCCTCTTACCAGCTGATTTATTTATTCCTATTCGTCCATGTATAATAACATGACATGCCAGTTTTTGATAGGAAATTAATACGATTGAATATTTATGAAAAACTGTGTTTAATATATCTTATAAACCTGAACCCATATCTCTCTAATCTTATTCCTTACTTCAGATACTTGTTTAATTTTAAATATATTTCATCCAATTAGAAAAATCTCCATCAGTTGAACATTCCATGAGTTGAACTTTCTTTCTTTACCTTATGTATATTCTCCAAAGAAAAAAAAAAGAAAATTCCATTTCAAAAATAACAATATAATTTTTTTTAAAAAAGCGAAAATCCCTGAGGCTAAAGGTTTCGTGCAAAATAGCTTTTATTCTGGCTTGACTCCAACCGAATTTTTTTTCCACACTATGGGAGGACGAGAAGGCCTCGTTGACACTGCCGTTAAAACGGCGGAAACCGGTTATATGCAAAGGCGACTTGTCAAAGTTTTTTTAATATTTATTTACTATTTCCACTCTTCAATATTGCGTGGATACTCGGAATAATTTCGTTTAAATTTGCTAAGTGTCTCGGATTTAAACGATTAAGATGTACGGTCAACCTGCATGAGCTCGAATTAACTTCGAGAGTCAAATAAGTTCTGATAAAGTATTGTGTAATTTATGTGTTATGATTTAGTTGACGTTGCCCCATCTAGCAAATTTTATCGTTTATTTCAAGGTTATCTAATAAGAAATTATTCCGAAATGCATTTTTAATAAATAATTAGTAATCGCTTAAATATTAGAGTTTTAGTTTTCAAACTACCTAAAGGTTCCACTAACAATATTTCACTTATTTTTCCGTTAAGTGGTTGGAATATTATAGGGAAAGAACAGGATGTGAAGACTGATACCAGTCTTCCAAAATAACCTATTTTTCATCACGTTTTAATATTTCCGAAGCCGTTAGAAAGGAGGAAGGAAAGAATTAAAGAAAGAAAGAGATAGTAATATTTTTCTATTCCTAAAAAAATGTCCATCAACTTCAAGAGTATGGAAGACCTGTGCATTCACTACGACATGACGGTTCGTAATTCCGTAGGAGAAATAATACAATTCGATTACGGAGGGGATAGTTTGGATCCCGTGATGATGGAAGACAAGAATAAGCCCTTCGATTATTCGCGCATGCTCACTCATATAAAAGTTTTTAAAAAATAATTTTTTATTATTAACGAATGAAAAAAAAACACTAGAGGTTTGCAAAGTAATTTTTTCGCAGCCCGAGACCGAATTTAAAAAACTTTTTTGTCCGAGCACACATTTTTTAGTCCAACCCGAGCCCGAATAAAATTTTACAATTTGAATTAGAATATTATAATAACCAAAAAAAATGTGTATTTATTCATCGCCACCTTAAATAAAAGTTTTTTTGACGGCCATAACCTAATCAAATATATTAAGTTGCATTTTATTTAATTTGAAAAAAAAAATATCATAAAAAAGTTAAAATACAATCGAATTTAAAAATTAATTGCGATTGTATAAATACAATAAACATGATTTGTGTCTAATGTAATTGATATATTAGTTAATATAGAAACTAAAAAATATAATAATGAAAATATTATAATGACATATCAATGTCATTATCAAAAGTATCACAGCGAATAATTATGATATATAAATAATGATTCCAGTTTATCTGGCTTTAAACGAATCCTTTTCTTTTCAAAGGCCCTGCCGACGAAGCAGTGATAGCTAGGAATTTATAAGCCAAAATACTTAAATTTGGAAACTCATTATGGTTTGTTTTCCACCGATTTAAAATATTATCATCTTCTATACATAATTTAGGATCTAGGTATTTTTTTAAGCTCGTCAACTTCGGCGCTAGCATCAGAAAACGCATTGTCAGCCTCCCATAGAAAGAAATCCAAAAACGTATCTACCTCAGTATTTTTTAAGTAAAAAAATATTCATAATATAATAATAATAATTATATTAAAAGATATATATTTACTTTATTATTTTTTAATAAATAATTTTATTATTAATTTAATGAACCTTTATTTACTACTCTATCAGTTGAGCAACTGATAAATTAGTAAAAGGTTAATAAACTTATTAATTAAAAAATAATAAAGTAAATATATATCTTTTAAAATTATTTTTATATTATGAATATTTTTTTCTTAAGAAAATACTAAGGTAGATATGTTTTTGGGATTTCTCTCTATGGAGGATGACAATGCGTTTTCTTATGCTAGTGTTGAAGTTGACGTACTCCAAAAATACCTATATACTAAATTATATATTGAAGATGATAATATTTTAAATTGATGGAATTGATTAGATTATGGCAGTCAAATAAACTTTTATTTAAGGTGGCGATGAATAACTACACATATATTTTTTTTGGTTACTATAATATTCAAACTCAAATTGTAAAACGGGTTCAGGTTCGGCTGGACTATAAAAATGTGTAATCGGGTCGAGCTCGGACAAAAAGTTTTTTAAATTCGGGCTCGGGCTGTGAAAAAATTATATTGACATTATGAATTATGATGACTATTTAGGATATTTATATTAATATTTATTTTTCGGGTCGGGTCGGACAGCTCTTACGACTCTAGCCCGAACCCGAAAAATATTTTTTAATATCCAAACCCGATCCAACACCGAGGCAGGGTCGGGTCGGGCTACGGACAGCCCGTGCACTTCTCTAATTCCTACATCTTGAGTTTTATTTGTCTTTGGCAATATATCGACAATGATTCGCCTAAATTTTAAGGGTAATTAACGTAAATAAGTATATATAATGACTGCATTTGATTTCTTAATAATTGAATTTTATTTCTTAGATAACATAACAAAACGAAATTAGTTTTTTTGAAAAAAATATTTATATATTACTGTAGTAAATTATATCTTATTATGAAAATATGCTAATTCAAATGAGTTTTTTTATATATATATATCTAACTTATAAATGATAACATTTTGAGAGAAAGAGAGCTAAATTAAAATTATATTTAAACCTATTAAATAAGAATATACATAAGCCCGATTCGAACGAAAGTAATTTGACGCTACGCGATACGCTTTTCGTATTTGATCGGCTCAAGACCGAGGGTCTATTTAAACAATGCGATTCGCCTCACTTCGAAGACGAAGTCAAGTAATCGATCATCTTTATTTCTTTCGTATTAATTTCAGAAAATCAAACGTGGATCACAAACATTTTTAAAAAAAAATCTGATAATGACAATGACATATATAATACCTAGAGTGACGATTCATTCATTAAAAGCAAATCAGCTGGATCCGCCATTTTGGTAACACATTTAGTAATTATTCTCATGTTAACTATTAAATTGACAACTTGCTTCTTTATTATCTCGATGATCCGGTAATTCTTTAAGTTTGCATAGATATAGGAATAAATTAGGATCTCGTTTAAAATTTTAATAATGATTAGTTTAACCAAGATGGCGTCTCCAGCTGATTTGCATTGATGTACACTTTTAATGAATGAATCGTCAGTCTAGGCATTATATATGTCATTGGATAATGAATTTATTTTAGGATTATGATCCCTCTATTTTGGGAATGGGGCATATTTTAAAATTTATTCATATTTCCCCATGACTTATTTATCTGTAACCAGAGCACTTACCCATTTCTTAAAATTTGTTAACTATCTTCTCAATTTTATCGTTTTCTTTATATTTTATCACCCAGCGGCGCATGAAGATATGTATTCGCTTATTTCCGGGAGTCAATGACATATAGTAAATACCCTAGACTGAGGATGCATTCATTGAAAGTGTACACGAATGAAAACAGCTGGGGACGCCATTTTGGTTACTCGTATCATTAGTAAATTTTTAAACGAGGTGGCTAATTTATTCCTATGTCTGACGCAAACTTTATCGAAGAATTGCCTGATCGTCGAGACAATAAGGAAGCAAGTTATAAATTTAATAGTAAGTAGTTTATAACATGAGAATAATTACTATACGGGTTCCCAAAATGGCGGGTCCAGCTGATTTGCATTCAACGACGCTTTCAAGTTCATTATTACGAATCCATCGTCAGTCTAGGATTATTATATGTCGATACGTTAGCTAGTCTTGTTGAAAACCTCGATTTGGATCTATTTTAAGAAACGGCCCCGATTAAGATTTTAGCTAAAATAATATATGAGATCGTTGGCAAATCTGCCGTGCAAAATCCCCGGGCTTAACTCGAGCCTTATTTATAAATCGACAGCCATGGTTTAATATTGGCATCGTGAACTAGTTATAATATTGGTTATCCCATCCCACCACATCCTCACCTTCTTGCCCGCCCTTCCTGCAACGGCACTTTATCCTTCATTTTAATATATCCTATCGTTCCTTTATTTAACATATCCACTTATACCCGATATTCTTAAAAGTATGAACACCCCCAGTTATTCGATATTTAGATAATTTAATTTATGAAACAATTTACGTTACGAATAATTATTTATATAAATAGAAAAAAATAATAAACCATAAAAATTAGGGCCTCATCACTAACACCAATTGAAGCCCGATAAGAATATTTTGAATAATTTCTACTCCCATTTTTTTTTATTGTCAATCAAACAAACCTAATTATTGATAAGTAAATAATGTTTTATCAATTTGGATAATTTATTTTAAACCCAAAATTAATCGCAATAGACGAACTTGAAAACAATTTATAAAAAGAACATTGATATTTTTTGTTTGTTTAAATTTTTGATCTCATCGCGAAAAGATTTTTTTATGCACGAAAATTACAAAAGATTTACCTTATAAAATATTTTTTCTTATAAAAAGATTTTGGCATTTTTAGGGAAAATTTGATCCAAAAATACAGGATCTCCTAAAAATTCTTAAAAAGATTTTTGCTCAAGAAGATTTTTTTTGCCAAACTCTGATTCTGATAAACAATATTCTATTACTCCATCTTTATTATCTTTGTAAAGAAATTTTCTAAACTCAGGCTTATTCTGAATCCATTCTACTATATCTTACTAGTTAAAATGATAGTAAATAATAAATAAGCTTTTGTTTTTGTATATAAATTTAGATACTCATTTTTTTAAAATTCTTTCGAGTAGTTTTTTAAAAAAATAGTAAATATAATCTATTTACCAGGCTTATTCAAAAAAAAACAAATACGAACCATGATTCATTTATGTTCATTCTTTACGAATCGAATAATTTGCTATTCGTACGAATAGCGATTCGTACAAATAATTTGCGATTCGTACGAATAATTTGCGATTCGTACGAATAATAAAATCTATATAATTATGAATAGTAAATTATTCGATTCGTTCAAAAGAATCGAATACTATTAATTTATAATTTGATTAGCTTTTCTGATAATGTTAAGTTCGACTTCTCCTAATATCCACGAATTATTGAAATAAAATTATTAATTGAGTATACCAAAAAAAAAGAGAAAGAATTTGTTAGAAATAAAAAAAAACAAATATAAATAGAAAAGAAAACTAATTTCTAATTATTTTTAAACTATGGAAAGTCTAGTGACCGTCAGATAATTTTTGAAAAATTACCGGAAATAAAGAATACCTTACATGAAAAAAAAAGAATAGATGATAAAAATGTCAGAACATTTTTTATAACAATGTTAAGTGGAAGGAGAAAAAAAAAATTAGAAGATATTAATTTCAATACGCTTTTCGCTCTGATTGGCGAGTCTTAAATGAAAAATATTTTACGCAAAGCCCGGAATTTTGAATCGAAGTTCTCCCATTTTAAAAATATTTAAACAACCCTTTTTCTTCTTATTCAGAACTTTTCTGGTCAAACACCAAACCGGCTTGGAGGCGCTCGCTAATTCCTACTCATCACCTCGAGATCCCTTACGCCTAATCGATATGAATAACTCGACTTTGAATCAATTATGGCGATTCACCGAGTCGCAGTTGATTTCATTTTTAAAATTCTGCGCCTTCAAGTACAAGCACGCGCGTATAGAACCCGGTGATTTTTTTTTTTAAAGTTGTTAAAATAAAAAAAATTTAAGCTTATTTTCTTCTCATTTGAAATCGAGGTTTTATATTTTTAGTTTCAAGATTGAATATAAAAAATGAATAAGGAGTTTGGGAAAGAATTATCATTACTCCTAGAGGCTATTAAATATTTTAATCTCCGTGTCTACATCCATCTTAACCATCCAAAATATTTTTTAATTAATCCTCCCTTAACTCATACGGTTCGTATATCCTCTTAATTATTTTTGTAATTCAAATTTAATTAATGCGTATAAAAAAAACATCTTCTAATTGAACTCAAACAGATGTATTTTTCCCCCTTCCGATCACTTTAAAATGCCCATCTCAGGACGGTCATAATTTTTCTTACATTGCAACTTTTCTTTCTTTTTGAAAATTATGTTTCCCGTTTCCTCTAAGGATCTCTTGAGGGTCATCTTGTCCAAATCCTTGAACAAAAATATGATTTGCTTAATTCGAAAAATATATCATTTAAGGAACCGCCGTAGGGGCGTTAGCGGCTCAAAGCATAGGTGAACCTGGAACTCAAATGACGCTCAAAACTTTTCACTTTGCCGGCGTAGCGTCCATGAATATAACGCTCGGTATATTTTATGATATAAAGAGGAAGAAACATTTTTTTTTTGTAAAGCTATGTCTGGACAGTTATAACCATATAATATCGCTTACGATAAGTCAATCAACTTTGAAAGGTATCCTTAAAAAATAATGTAGGCAAAAGAAAGAGAAAAAAATATAGAATGGATATCAATTGATAAAAAGGGAATGAATAACTGAGTTTTTTTTTAAAAAAAATTTAAACCCCTCCCCCACCTTCAGGTGTACCCCGCATCAAAGAAATCATAAACGCGGCCAAAACGATTAGTACCCCTATCGTTACGGCTCTACTCGATGGGCCCTCCAACGATCCCAACTTTGCCAGAGTCGTTAAAGGAAGGGTAGAAACGACCACGCTAGGACAGGTATTTTATAACTCTACGATCGCGAATTTTAAATTTATTATGTTAGGTATTTTACACATTGTTGGAATTACATTTCCGGCTAGACAAATAGTTGATTTAAAGTTGGAAAAGGAGCCTAATGATTTGTTCTAGAATATGTAAAAATTTTTTCTCGACAATTTGGAATTTGTTTACTAAATTTACACGGAATTGGCTAAAATATTAATCCAGGCAATACATCTAAAGCTTGATTTAGGCGCTATGCTTGTAACATATATAGGTGAAATACTAGGGGGAATATTTTAGCGCCAAATTAGCATATCTAAACCGGGATATATTTGTATCTGCTCTCTTGAAGGTTCCCAAATCAAGAATGCTATATAATCTAGGGGTAAAGTCAGAACGTCGAATGTTTTCCATATTCGTATTTTGCGTATTTGAGATTGTATAAAAAAAATAATTTTGTTTTTTTTTAAAAAATTTATCTAATTTCCATATTTAAACGTCTTTGGCTATTTAAATTTTCTCAAAAAAAAACAAGGTGACTGAATTTATCGAGGAAGTCTACACCCCCATTTCCTGTTTCATATTGGTCAAATTGAGTTTAGATCGCATCAAATTATTGAAACTCGAAGTGACAATCTATTCTATTCAGCTATCCATATTGAACAATTCCAAAATCCGTACCAAGATGGGGGTAAGATTTGGCATTTATAATGTTTTAATAATCTCGTCACCCATTTTTGTATCACGATTCTTTACTACAGTTATTAACGCATTTAATAAACTTCTTTTTTTTCAATGATGATAGGATGTAAAGATTGTGAATGGTTGCGCTCTACAGATTTTTCCTAACAGGAAGAATAGCAAAATTTCTCTGCATTTTACTTTGCAGTTATTGATGGAAGAAGTGCTGAAAACTATAATAATAGTAAAAATAAATAAAAATATTTTTACGCTTTTGGGTAATTTTCTTTTTGAAATTTTTGGTTAAACTCAACAATTTACAATGAAGAAGCAAGATTTAGATCATTAAAAATAAAGAGTTGTTCTATCAAATAATATATATATATCGCTTAAGCATAATAAATCTTTTAAAATATATTTTTTTTATAAAATTTAGGGAATACCTTTGACGGTGAGGGCCGTTATTCATGCCGACGATTCAAAGAAAGAAACCACGTATAAATTATTGGTGGAGGGTAAAAATTTTCTCGAAATATTGGCAACGAGAGGTTTAAAAATTATTATTTTTTAAATAGAGAATTGATATAAATTTATCAATACTTTTAATTGCGTTCATTTTTGATCACTTTGTTAGAGATTATGGCCAACTACAATATTAAAAAAAACCGCATTTTGATAATGAATTTCATAAAGCATGGTCATAACACGGAGGTTATTGCTTAAAATGTTACGTCGGTCGATATTTACTATAATATCTTCAGTAGCTATTGTCAGCCGAAGTAATATTTAGCCCCGAGCCTAATAAACCGCCCAATTTTTCAAGATACATTCATAAATCTAGTTTAAAAAAAATATTTATATTTCTTCTTTTTTAAATTTTCTTTAAAATATAAAACAAAGGTATAAAAGCCCAAAAAACTACGTCCAATAATATATACGAGGTCGAAAAAACTTTAGGAATCGAAGCGGCAAGGTAATTATTAAATTTGAACAATTTTCGTTTCTTGTTTAGCATTCAGGCAAAATTAAAAAGGGATTGAGCTCTCGCCTACTAAAACTTTTCTTTATAAAGAAAGATTCTGGATAGCATTTCTTTTCAGAATTCATTTCTTAATAATTTAAAGTAGGAAAAACTTTAGGAATTGAAGCGGCAAGGTAATTATTAAATTTGAACAATTTTCGTTTCTTGTTTAGCATTCAGGCAAAATTAAAAAAGGATTGAGCTCTCGCCTACTAAAACCGTTCTTTTTAAGGAAAGATTCTGGATAGCATTTTCTTTTCAGAATTAATTTCTTAATTATTTAGAGTAGGAAAAACTTTATGACGCTAATTTTTGTCTCACAAGTCTAGGCTTAGGTAATAATTTTTTTTTTTAAAAAAAAAAATTTCTTTACTAAATTGAGCTTTTCAAACCAGGAATGTGAAACCTTTGACATAAAAAACCGGATCCATGCTGATAGATAAAAAAAATTTAAAAATGGGTTCGGGTTTTGGAGTGCCAGTAAAATATAATTGATCAATTTTGATTTTTAAATGTTCTTTTTTCAATCTAATCAAATCATTTAACATCTTTCGAAATATCCTCTTTAAGATTTCCGCCTAAATCTGAAAAATATGTATTTCGAGGATGAAAAGGCATATTATACGTCTGAAATAAATTAAATAGCATTCTTTGTGACAGGTTTTAAATTATTGTTAGATACTTGTGTCGCTCACATAGGGATATATGTTGTTAAAAAGCCCGTTTCGGGTCGATTTATAAAAAACCCCCTTTTAAAATTTTATCCAAAAGTAATATTATGTAAGCTTGGAGATTTTGCTCATAAATGGCTTTTATAACTTGAAAAAACCTCATAAATATATGGTAAATGGTAACTTTTTATTCTCAATTCTTGTATGTATGTATATATACTATTCTTTTAATTATTCAATTTAACTGACCTTTTGTATAATTAATATACGCTATATTATTGTACAACAAATATATTATTCAAATAACGTCGAATATTATAACCTTTTAAAATGTATGAAATATAACAATGGCAACAAGTTTTACATTCCTATTTGCGCATAATATTATTTTGGCTAAAATCTTAATCGGGTCTTCTTTTTTTAAATAACCCCAAATCTGGGTTTTTTAACAATACTAAGAATATAGTTCTGAATATATGGAAGAATTTTCTTTCCAGAATTTCGAAATATACTTATTTACCTCACCCGTGAGAACTTTTCAATTTAAGGATGTTATAGGAATTTGTTCCTCTTCCCATTTACCCAACAATTTTATCTCCTTTTATTTATTATTTAAAAAAAATTTTTTGACCTAGAATCCTTAAAACCTCCACTTTTTAAAAGGGTTTTGGGTCACAACCCTATTTATATTTTTAACGTTTAAAATGATTTGTGGGTTATAAAAAGAAATATACACACCTTTATCTTACAATTAAATGTTTTCTGTTGTAGGAAAAAAGTTTCATAATTTGCACATCTTCTTGAATAGTGGAAGCAAGTTATTTTTTTTTATCATAGCTGATTACACTAACGATGTGAATTCATATGAGCAATTTAGTGTGTGTGTTATTTAGATATATGTTGATAATACAAAAACACCGAAAGATTAATTAATATTTTCCCAAAAAATTGATGATTTGTATGCGGCATTAAAAACTTTGAAAGACAATTTTATAAATATTATTCACGGTTAGGCTAGCCTGGTGTTGTTAATTTGCTTGGTCTTAAAATTTATGACTCGATTTTGTTCTAAGGCCTGCTCTGAGCACGAACCCTTACCACAGACCCCGCACCACAACCCATTTATTTTTAGCTAATTTTTGTTGAACTTAGGAAAGTATATATAAGATTTATTCATTAGGAGGACAAGCGTTCCCTCTCGATAGGCTAATTTAGGGCTTGGGGGGTCAGGAATATTTCTAACAGCAATATATTGATATGGTCGCCAAATATCTTTTATTTCTATTCCTACCTCTCTAATTGGTGTATGTTTATTAAAAATATTTGGTATACCTGACAAATTATTGCCATTTCACACGAAGAGACATTGTATTTATGTCCCAGGAAGAGAGTGGACATGCATTGTTTTATCGCTGAGGGAGCCATCCTGTTCCTCAGTTTAGCCATAGTATTTCCGGCCAAAGAAAAAGCTCTTTCCGATGCCACCGATGTTGTCTATTGGCATAAAAAGACCTTGGTCATCATTGCTAAATGAGGAAAACGATCAGCATTCCCTCTCCACCAACATAATATATTCGTGATTTTGGACGCGGTCATTAATTGGCTATTATCATTATTACTATTTGATGTTCCTTTTCTAAATATGGATAAATATAAAATATCAAAGATTATATATAAATGTATATTTTGATTATATAACAAATTTATTTTTTTTCAATCCTTGCAATATTGAAATGGTTTTGAAATTCAAGGGATTGTTATTATTATCAATTTATACGCATCAAATGGCTCTGTCATATATTTTGCAAAGTTATTTTTAAAGATATCAAAATATTTCTCTGCAACGTCTTCCTTTAGATTTGTAATTAGGGTATTTTTGATCCTAGGATCAAATAAAGATGCTGCGTAATTATATGGTGTGTTTATATATTGACTATATTCCTCAGTTTTCTTTAACATAAGAGTTGCTGCTTCTTTTATTGAAAAATCTAAATACGTCTAAATTCTTGCAATCATATAAAACATTAAGTGGGGTAACTAAAATACCTCTTGCTGTTAAAATACGATGGAACAGCAAATACCTAATGATATCTACCATTAATAAGGTAATAATTATTATTGTATATTTATTATATTCTTTTTCTTAATATTTATTTATTTAGAATATTAGTACCATACAAGAACTCAGCGAGCAAGGTATAATAGGGGAAGATACTACGCCAACTCCTGTATAATTGCGCGTTCTTCATAGAGTTGGAAGAATTTCTTTTATCCTTTTATCAAATTACCGTAGAAATATTCACTCAATCTCCCACAATCGGGATGACCTTATTATTCTTCAATGATATATTGCAGAATTTAACATACCTTGGCATATTTAGATTTTTCAATAAAAGAAGCAGCATATCTTGTGTTAAAGAAATCTGAAGAATATAGTCAATATACATTCACTCCATATAATTAAGCAGCGTCTTTACTTGATCCTAGGATTAAAAAATACCCTAATTACAAATCTAAAGGGAAGACGTAGGGAAATATTTTGATATCTCTAAATAAAAATTTGCAAAATATATGTCAAAGCCATTTGATATAAATTTGATAATAATAACAATCCATCGAATCTTAAAACCATTTTAATATTGCAGGGATTGAAAAAAGAAAGGTATAATGAAATACATAAATTTTGATAGAATATATATTTATATATAATCTTTGATATGTTATATTTTTCATATTTAGAAACGGAACATCAAATGGTAATAATCAGAGATCCAAACCGAACCGTTAAAGCTACCGCTATTTTTTATCGAACCTGAACCTAACCTAAACCGCTAAAAAAATTCTAGCCGAACCGAACCGATAAAATGCCTCTGAACCGGTTCGAGACTCATGATTTTATGCTTATAAAATAATATGTAAGTTATTATTAGTATAATTAAAAAAAATTCAATTATATTCTAATTATTTTAAAGATAATCATGAATCACGTTTGATTGATAAGTGTCGGTAATAATTTTTGTAAACTTTAGTAAATTATCATTTAACAACATTTTCCTCTAAGCTTATAAATTATAAGGCTTAGAGAAAAATTAAATCCAAATATTATTATAAATCACATATCAAATCTGATATCATATTGGCAGTGCATGCTACCAGAGTTAGTGTGGACTATGGAAAGATATTTTTCAACAATTAAATTTATAAGCTATCTCCTTATAGATGTAATTTGAGTGGGACGAATTTTGAAAATATATTAATTGTGTGGCTTAATAAAAAAAAATTAAGTAAAAAAAGTAAAATATTGTTCATATTAAAATTAATCATTGATATTTATTTTTATATTTATAAATTAAATTTTATTTTATAATGTGCAATTAAAATAAAAGGTAGGTTTTATACATGTATTTTTTTAAATTAATGATAAAATAAAAAAATATTTTCCCTATACATAATTCGAATGTAGGTTTGAATACAAAAGTGTTCAAACCGGTTTTTAGAGGTTCGAACCGAACCGATATTTTTATCCGAACCAGAACCGAACCGATATTCGTTTCGGTTTGGATCCCTGGTAATAATGATGATAGCGAATTAATTACACACCTGGATGAGCCACTTCAAGATATAATTAAATTACCTTTTTTTGACGCCCAAATCAATATTTTGCGTTGTTAAAAATATTTCTGACTCCTCAAGATCTGACCCCCCCCCCCCAAAAAAAAAATTAGAATAATAATTATGATTACAATTAAGATATAATTATATATAATTTGTAATTTGAACACAGTTAAACGGTAAGGTAAAGGTTAATACCGCTGTAAGAGATTTATCAAAATCCATTCATGAAAGTGTTCCATGTTTTTGAAAACACACGTCATTAAAACCCTATTCAGAAATTAAGAACTGAAAAGCTAGGTCCCATCCTTATATATTTTTTTTACCAGTTAACCACTTGCTTTATTTATCGTGGAAGGTTATAATGATTTTACGCCCTGGTATTTAAAAATTAATGTAGCCAAAGTATACATTAAGATAATATTGAAAGAGTCAGTCTTGTATATTTCTTTTGAGGCGCACACTACCATCGAGAGCGGAAGCGAGGAGGTAGTAGATACTTTGATGCGTCATCGAAATTTCTGGAAGATAGTCTCATAATCAATATCCATTTTATATTTTAGTCATTTAATACGGGAGGGGGGGGGGAGATTCTAGGGGGATTACTCAACTGACTTTATTTGTCCTTTTAATTATTAGATCTAAATTACAAAGAAAGTTGTTGTTCAGATTTATTTATGTCCTTAAATTATCAAAAAAAAAAATTATATTTATTATGATATAAATGTAATAAACAAATTAGAACAACAATTATCAACGAAATAGTATACACGATGTCCAACCATGGCATGAGCATAGACATCCGTCACGTTATGCTACTCGCCGACCTCATGACCTATCGAGTAATGTATCATGCCTGCCAATCATTTTTTATTTTTCATATAAGTTTTGTGCGTCAGGTATTTAAACTGGAGCACGAAGGCAGGGGATATTTACCTACGGAGGAGGTAAATAACATTTTGTATTTGCTTCCTGGGGGTAAATTAATATACCGTTTTCTTTATAAATGCTATTTACTCCCTCCGTGGGTAAATATTCTCTGCTAACGAATTGTTATAATCTTAAAATCATTAATTATGTGCATTTATAGAAAGTTAATTTCAATTTAAATAACGATAATAAAACAAACATAGGGTCAAGTTCTTGGTATAACTCGCGACGGTTTGGCGAAGATGAAAGAAAGTGTCCTCATGCTTGCATCGGTAATTCAATTGATTTAGATTAAGCATTATTTTGGATTCAAGCTTTACTGATATCTTTTTTAAAAAATGCTGATATATATTACTAAAGCTTACATAATTGTTAATATGAGTTGTTAAATTTCAAATGTATCTATATGCAGATACATAACTTAAAAATACAAAATTTTCAAGATATATTTTTTTTATATTATAATCATGTATGGGTTTAGCATAATGCCAAAATTGAAAATCTATTTTTTAAAACTTCAAATTGTGAATTGAACCAAAACATTTTTTTACTCGGTTTAATATATATGGTGAATTCCATATCAAATCAACCAAGGTTTCAACCAGACCCCTTTCAATTTTTTTTAAATTTTGCATACTGGTAGTATATACTATAACTAAGAAAAAAATGAAATTTTACCTCCCAAAAAGGCTTACCCGCTAAGATTGGGCGTTTAAAGCGCGGAAAAATGGTACATTTTTTACAAAAAATGCCTCATTTATTTTCAAATATCTTGAGAAATAATTAAGTTAGAAAAATAATTTAAATTTTATTATGTAGCTTAATAATAGTTCTTTAATATGACATAAAAATAAATATGATTTAAATATGAATGTCCAATACCGGATGTATAAAACCGGAAATGACCATAGAAAAAAAAATGGTATTTTTTTTTCGAAATTATTTTTCTGTAGATAGATATAACACTGCTTTATATTTCTACCATATCCTAGCCTGGGATGAAAAAGGGTCTAGGAGTTATGACTCTTTATATGGCTTAAATTGATCAAAAATATCTTCATTTAATGAATACTTATGAAATAATGTTTATTTAAAAATTATGTCTAAATGATATGCCCTTACTTTTATGTTTAAGAAATCTTTTGAGAAGGGGCTGGGATAATGTGATTTATTTAACACTTAAGTTAAATTTTGTCTCGAAATTATATAACATAAATTTTAAATATTTTATTAGCATAAAACAATCTATCATAATTAAAATTCAACAAATATCATCATATTTAATTGATAAATTCGCATTCATAACATATAAGTTTAGTGGTGATATCAGATTGCTTAAAGCACAATGCCTGTGCCTTTTATTTATTTCAAACTAAAATGATCTTATTTTTAAAAGAAAGATTTGATACATTGACCAAAATTTATTATTTTTCTGATGGGGCCGTAACCCAATATAAAAATAAAAAAAATTTCATAAATCTCTATAATCATGAATGTGATTTTAATATAAAGGCCGAGTGGCATTTTTTTGCTACAGCTCATGGAAAAGGTCCGTGCGACAGTTTAGGAGGTATTACAAAACGGCTAGCAGCTCGAGCTAGTTTGCAACGGCCATATCAAAACCATATTTTGACACCAATGGATTTATTCGACTTTGCAACAAATAATATGGAGTAAATTACATTTTTGTAAGCAATAATGAATACAATAATATGGAAAATCATCTAGAAAGCAGATTTTTGAGAGCAAAAAGAATTCCGGGAACACAAAAATACCATGCTTATATTCCCCTTGACGAAAATAAAATTAAAGTCAAAATTTATTCCAATTCTTTAGATAATTTAATATATGATATATTGTAAACATAATTATGAATTATTATATTATATGTAATTATGCATTTCAGAAAAATAAAGTTATAAATTGGTTTAGAATTATTTTGTCAAGTAATTTTCAGTCACAATATGTTAACAATTAAAAATAAAAAAAGTTAGGGCCTATCATTTAGACATAATTTTAAAAAAACATTATTTCATAAGTATTCATTAAATGAAGATATTTTTGATCAATTTAAGCCATATAAAGAGCCATAACTCCTAGACCCTTTTTCATCCCAGGCTAGGATTTGGCACAAATATAAAGCAGTGTTATATCTATCTACAGAAAAAAAATTTCGAAAAAAAAAATACCTTTTTTATCTATGGCCATTTCCGGTTTTATACATCCGGTTTTGGACATTCATCAAATTTATATCATATTTATTTTTATGTCATATTAAAGAACTATTATTAAGCTACATAATAAAATTTAAATTATTTTTCTAACTTAATTATTTCTGGAGATATTTGAAAATAAATGAGGCACATTTTGTCAAAAATGTATTATTTTTCCGCGCTTTAAACGCCCATATCTTAGCGAGTAAACCTTGTTGGGAGGTAAAATTTTATTTTTTTTCTTAGTTATAGTATATACTACCATTATGCAAAATTTAAGAAAAATTGAAGGGGGTCGGATTGAGAATCGACTTTTTTTGGTTGATTTGATATTGAATTCACCATATTTATATTAAAGTATTATATAATTAAGTGAGTATAAAATATGATTGTTTGATTGATTAATAATATATTGTCATAGTTTTCATCACTGAAGCATCACCCATTTAAACACATATTTACCTTACTAAAAATATTTCAACTGGTGATTAGGAAGGTAGCTTAGTGTTATACTTTATTAATAACACCTTTATATTTCTTTAAAAATAGTTAAAATTACAACACTTATTTTTAAAATAATCATTAAAAGTTTTGATGGATATTCAAATATATATTTCTTATCCATATCCTCTTAGGTGGTAGTAAAAAAATATGTTATTGCACCTTTCAATTTTTTTTCCGTGATTTCTATCAACTGAAAACTATGAAAGTTTATTGAATAATCGCTGTATTCGTCTAAAAATTAGGTTTATTCTATATCAACTTTTTGTAACAAATTATTTTTTTTACATAAATCAATTTTTGATATATTTGTAACAATTTACTTTAAAAAATCCGAAATATTTATAAAATAATTTAAATTAAATCCGATACAAGGTTAACGTCCTATTAAAAACAATAGAAACATAATTTTTTTAAACTGCTCTCCTGTAAAGTTACAAAAAAAGTGGAAATAGGATATTCTAATTCTCAGGCGACGATTTGTATAAATGCAACTTTTATTGATATTACTCGTATAGACATTTAATAATACAAAAAATTCCATATCTATACCGCTATAAATATATTTAAAATACAGATACAAAGTTTTTGTTTAGCAACTCTCATTATGGGGTTGGGCTTATAGCTGAGTCATAAATTATATATAAGAAAAATTGGAAGAAAGAAGGATATGTAATTTCATTATTTAATTTTTCAATTTTTTTTTATCTAATAAGACCAATGCTATTAATACTGATCAAGGATGACGATTCTTAAAGTACACTGAAAGCCATTTTAGACGAAATACTCTACAATGGCGTCTACTACAGCCAATGACATTGGCGACAGCTGCTTTTAATATACGTAGACACTTAATAAATGAATAGTCTCTAGATTAGTATTAGATTCATCGATTACTTACCTCCTCCTCCCCCACCCATCCTATTTTTTAAGAAATACCAAATTTATCTTATTAAATCTTTAGCGCATTTATTATTATTAAAATTTAAGTTCGAAAAAACGGCCGATCATTTATTCGACGCAGCGTACCACGGACAAGTGGACGAGATAAATGGCGTGAGCGAATGTATAATCATGGGAATGCCTATCACCATCGGCACCGGACTCTTCAAAACACTATTAAAATATCCTTTTTTATTTGTTTTATTTTCCTCCAGAAAATTTACGTTACATAATATGCTCTAATGGTAATAACGTCTTAGTTTAAAAAAATTCTTAAAAATTTAATCTTTTTTTGGATGAGAGATATATACAAGATAAATTAGCGATCTGCAAAGCCCCTCCCCTTTGTCAATCAACTTGATCTGGGGTGATCTTTTCAAAAATAGTTTCGGCTCAGATTATGACAATATTTTTTTTTAAAATTTGGGCCGGGCCTAATTCATATTTAGACCCTATCGAGATCACTAGTATAAATCATTCATTCAAGTTCAAATATGCGAGAATTAAACAATATTGGGGGTTAGGGGGGTTAAAAATTATAGTAGTGAAGTGTTCTTACTTATTTAAAGGATTTTATTTTAATAATCGAGCTCGATATGATTCGAATGATGAAATTTGAATTGACCCCGATTTTTTAAATAATAAATCCTACAAACTAGCCTTGCGGGTTGGCACTACCCGACTTTTTGACGAAAATAACTAGTATTATTTTTAGCGGTACCTTAAAAAATTTTGACATTTCTGAAACCTAACCAAGCCTGTTTTCTGGACCGGGGGTAGATGAACATGAACCAAGCTCGACGTAACTAATGTCGGATTCAATATCCTGCAATCAGGAATGTTAAGAATTTTTTTTACCAATATTAATCTTTCATTATCAATCACTTTACTTTTCGTTTTGATCACATGGGCAATTTATTGGCGATTGTGCTACTTTAATTGTGGACATTAAAATTTTATACCATTTTCCTTAACTCGACAATTTTTTTCTTAAAATAATTGTTTTTATCACGAATGAGAAGAAACGAGAGCCTATTCAAAGAGAACTAATATTTGATGTCCCCGAACTACATCGATAAAAAAAATTTATAATTTAATTTATGTAATCTGATATTTATTTATTTTACGAATTCGTAGATTATAATCTAAAATAATTCAACAAATTTGTATAAAATGTATTTATATGTTAATAAATAATTATGAAATTTATAGAAATTCTCATATCTCTTTCCTCGCTAAAAAATTATATTTGATTTATGCCAATATTAAATCGTGAATTGAATACTTATATAACTCAGAGAAAGATATTTCTTCCTTTCTTTAGCTCTCTACCTTAATTGTTCCAGATTCCTAATGAGTGATTCATACGTTTTGTCGCTATTTATTTAATAAAGGGTTTCCGTGGATCGTTGTAGAAGCTAAATTAAAGGCTAATTTGTTAGCGAGTTATATACTCTCAAATAAATTTATGCATCTCCTCCACAGAATAAAATTTATTTTAAAAAATTTTAAATAATTAAAATATGAGCTATATATAACTATCATCTGAAATTTACTATCGTATAAAGATAGCCATGTTTTTTTTAAAGGAAAAAAATCTTATGCAGATTCCTGTGAATGATCAGGCACTTCAATTTTTTTATTCTAAGGTTGCCCAGCTAAGTTTTTTTTAAAAAAATTTTAATATAAGGCCTAAACTATATGTTGTTGAACATCAAAATAATCAACTATTTATAAACTTTGGCCGTGGTTAAATTAAACACTATGTATTAACACTTCTATCAAATATCAGAATAATCAAATATATATACAGAAAATAAAATTTACCGACCCTGCCCAAAAAAAAACTTGACACGTTAACCAGCCGGGCATTACAAATCTCTTTTAAAGATATTGATTAGCAGGAGGCTTTAACAAGTAATCTATCTATTAAAGATAAAACATAAATTCTGGGAAAAATTTGAGCATCGTAATTTGGCAATTATTTTTTTTTAGATATAGAATAATATAATCCTAAACATAGTAAGCCAATTTAATTGGTGATAGAATGTTCATATGGTTATGTTTTATCAATCCTATTGGTTGGATATACAGTGTTGTGATAATTTAATGAAACATATTGACGATTAAATTAAACACCCATTCATATAAAAATATTTTGTTTGCAAAAATAAAATATAGACAAATAATTATTAAAAATTCTTTTATTCCTCCTTGTGTTATTTTAATTATTTTTGCAAACAAAATATTTTTATATGATGATTTTTAATTAAATCGTCAACATGTTCCATTAAATCATCACAACACTGTATATAGAATAATATTTTTAAAAAATTTCAAAATTTTGAGGGGACTCTTTAAATTATTTAGGCCCCTTAATAAAACACTAAAAAGATACATAGTACAATTTAATCCTGAGCATCACTGGAAAAGATTCGTTAATTTTATTGATCGATAGTTTTAGGGCTTGCGTTTCCAAAAAGTCGACATAGAATAGTATCCCAAGGCGACGATATATGGAAATAAATCAATTTTACAAAAATATTAAATAATCAGTGAAGAGAAAACGAATTTGAAGAGAGTACAAAAAATATTTTTTTATTATTATATCTATATAAAATGTTCATCCATTTACTATATATATATATTTTAGAAAAAATCATATATGACTAAAATAAAAATATAATCTTAAAATAAACTAAAATATCAGTTACGACTAAAATAAAGGTTACCATAAAAACTAAAATTATATTATTCAAAAATGTTACAATTTGTAAAACTAAAATTATATTATTCAACATTCTCCTTCTTCTAAAGAAGCCTTCACATAAGTTTAATTGTATTGTCATAGTTAGTTTGTTGTCCAAATGTTTTAACGTTTTGACCATCAAGTTGTTTCATAAGTCATAGTAATCGTTGGCTTGTTTAAATCGTAAGTTGTCCTTATAAATGAATTTGTCATATAGCTTGCTATGTAATGCTCAGTCGTTATTATTATCAATTTTCAAAGTTGTTATTATCATCAGTAAGTTGCGAATAATGAGAAGTTGGATATAAGAATAAATGAATGATAAATCAATAATATTGTTATATAATATTTCCATGTTTTGCGTTTTAGTATAAGCGTTTTAATATTAAATTTACTTTATTATATTTTAAGTTATGTAGTCTTTTAAATAAACAGGTTTTTGTTTAATTCGCACTGATCTAGAAATATGTGTTATGTCATTTTTATCAGTAATTTTTATATTTTTGTCCACACTTCCCTCCTTAAAAGAATCCTTAGTCATAGTTAATAAGTGTGTTAAAACAGTTTCTAATTCTTATTTGATCTAAATGTCTCCTCAAAATACCATTCTCTGTCTTATTTTGGAACATCATGTCACTTTCTTTATGTGTGACCATGCCTTTGCACCATTTGTCATCACCTTGTACTTTGTACCAAACAAAATCTCCTACGTTAAAGGGATATTTCGTGGTAAAGTAACGTTTATTTTGTTCTCCTTCTGCAACGGTTTTAATAAGTCCCATTTAATTCTAATATCTCGATTGAACATTCTCTGAGATGGTGTAACTCCTGTAGTATCATTACGCGTATTTCTGTAATTAAATAAAAATTTGTCAAGTCTATTGTCTAAGTCAATTTTAATATTCCTTTCCATATGTGTTTTGAACGTTCTTACCATGCGTTCTACCTGGCCATTGGATTGCTGGTGATAAGCAGATGTAAGCACATGTTTGATACCATAATTATTTCAAAATCGTTACTTGTAAAGTTAGTGCCGTTATCCATAACTATAGTTTCAGGTATTCCATATAGCGAAATAGTTATAAAAATTTCTTTTAAAGTAACATCAGTCGTAATATTTTTAACAGGAATAATAATTGGAAATTTGCTGTAGGCATCAACTATTATCAACCAATTTCTCGTGAAGAACGCCCGCATAATCTATGTGTAACCTTTCAAATGGTTTGGTTGCCGAAACCCATGGTTTTTGTATCTTTTTAGGATTATCATGATATATATTACAATCGTCATAACTTTTCACTTCCATTTCTATGTCATTATTTATACCAGACCACCACATGTAATCTTTGGCTAAGGATTTGATTTTTCCTGCTCCCAAGTGACCTTCATGTAATGACTGTAGTACTTTTTTTCTCATAGAAGACAGAATTATGATTCTGTTGCTTTTGTAAAGACAATCCTTAATTATACTTAATTTCAATTCAATGTTTTCATAAATATTGTTGATTATAGGCCTGTTCTTAATATCATTTATGTCTTTTTTAATTCAATATTTTTCAAAGTTTCATCACGAATTTGATTAAAATTAATAGGTAAATCCCCATATTCATTTATTATAGTGATATTTTCAACAGCTTCATCATGACATCCTTGTGGTAATCTCGAGAGACAATCAGGAACAACATTATATTTACCGGCTTTATACTTTATATTAAAATCATATCCTCCTAATGTTATATTCCACTTCTGGAGTCTTAAGGTCATGGTACTATTATCCTTAAGACCCTTGGTAAAGATGTGAACTAGAAGTTTATGGTCAGTAATAATTGTAAATTTTGTGCCGATTAAATATTCCTGGAACCTCTTTATAGCGACACGAACCTCACGCTCAATATTGGTATAGTTCATTACGGATTTTAATAAAGTTCTTGACGCGAAAGCTATAGGTTTTTCTTTACCGTCTTTTTCAGTATGAAATAATACAGCTCCTAAACCACATTTAGATGCGTCAGTGGCTATCCCTATAGGTAATTCAGGGTTAAAATATGTCAAAGTAGGTGGAAGAAACTTTTAGAGTGTTCTAAGTTCCAAGCCCATATTTATTTGTTGACGATTTTTTAGAGGAGCGGCTATTTCTGCAAAATTGTTGAAAAATTTTCTATAGTAGCCAGCCATTCCCAGAAATGTTGATAAGCAGCTGATTTTGGTTCTGGCATATTAATTATTGCTTCAATTTTGTCGTGATTAGCATGAATCCCCTTGGCGTCAATATCATGACCCAGGAACCTCACTTTGTTTTTGAAGAAGACACTTTTGTTGAAGTTAGGTATTAGCTCAAACGATGATATTCTATCAAACACCTTTTTTTATGTTATTAAGGTGGGCTTTATCGTTTTTCCCAGTTATAAGTAAATCATCAATATAAAATATGACGTCATCCGTGTCATCGAAGATTTGATCCATGATCTGTAGGAAGATTGCAGATGAGGTCTTAAACCCAAAAGGAAGTCTAGTAAATTGGTAATATCCCTTGTGCGTAGATATAGTTAAAATATTTCTGCAACTTTTATCGATCGGGACCTGTAAGAAAGCATTTTTAAACAATCTTCGTAAATTTCTTTCCTTCTGAAAGTTTAGCTATTAGATCATTGATTCGTGGTAGAGGGTATCTGAAATCTTCTAGAGCTGGGTTTACAGTGTCCTTAAAATCAGCACAAAGCCTAATGCTCCCATCATCTTTGTAAACAGCGGTAACAGGACTTGCCCATCGGACATCATTCACCGGCTCAATAATTTTATCATGCATCCATTTTTTAAGTTCATTGCTTACAAGATCAATTTTTGAATAAGGAATACGTCTAGGCTTATAATTTTAGGTTGGGCATCTCTTTTTAAATGTAACTTGGCACTTGCTTTGTTGATTGGCCCATTTGTCAAATTGGATTCACAGTCTTTAATCAATTTTTTTATTTCATCTTCATAATTAGTGTCAACATTTGCTATAAATTTATTTAAAATATTTTTGAAATTGTTGATCCATATACGTCCCAACAAGGCATTTTTCTTGATTCAACGACTACCGCTTGTAAATATTTTGAGATACCTTCATAAGTCACTTTAACTTGAGTAAAGCCGATGATCTTGATTAAATTTCCGTCATAAGCGGTAAGTTGTAACTCGATTTCTTCACCTCTCTAATACCAAGTTTTTTAGCCAGACCATGAGGTATAATAGTATGTTTGGAGCCTGTGTCGACTTGCATACTCGTAACAATATCGTTCACTTTTAAAGTAGTCATAAATGCATTATCTTTGTCATTAAGCATGTCCCCAGATAAGTTGTTAACATTGAAATCGTTATCATCTTTGTTCTTTGTAGAGTCGACTTTCTCTTCAATAATTTCTTCAATATTCATATTGT